GCCCCAAACACTAAACGATCCAGGTGGGCGGTGGAGCGGAGGCGGAACAGGGGGAGGGACGGAGGGCTAGGTCCAAGGATAGGAGAGACCAGGGACTGAGGCAGAGCAGGGAGCCAGGGTGGAGCCGGCAGTAGAGGTGGAGCTGAGGACTACCACAGCAGAGCAGACGGGACCGAAGATCCCCACGGCGGAGCAGAAGACCACCAGAGCCAGACAGCAGACCACCACGGCAGAGCAGGCAGAGCAGAAGACCACCACGGCAGAGCAGAGAACCACCATGGCAGAGCAGAGGACCACCAGAGCCAGACAGTAGACCCCCACAGCGAAGCAGAAGGAACGGGAAACCCCCCCGGTGAACCACACCGATCAGGAGACCATGGCGGAGACTGTAGCAATGAGAGAGCAGAGACAGACAACACAGACAGAACATTGGGGTTGATAAACAAGGCTGAGTGTTCAGAGGCAGCCTCCTTGGCTGGGTCGGGACAGGACAAAAGTTCACAAACAACCTCCATGGCCAAAACAAAGCAAGCAAAGAATTCACAAATGGCCTCCATAGCCGTGACAGGATGAGGATTCCCCGACGGCCGAAACAAAGCAAGCAAAGAATTCACAAACGGCCTCGATAGCCGTGTCAGGACAGGATGAGGATTCCCCGACGGTCTCCATAGCCGTGACAGGGCGAGCAGGGAGTTTGCAAACGGCCTCTATAGCCGTGACAGGACGAGCAGGGAGTTCGCAAACGGCCGCTAAGGCCGTGACAGGACGGGCAGAGGGTTCACAGATGGCCTCCATAGCCGTGACAGGGCAGGACGAGGATTCACAGACGGCCTCCTTAGCCGTGACAGGACAGGCAGAGAGTTCACCAACGGCCTCCATAGCTGTGACAGGACGGGACGAGAGTTCACAGATGGCTTCCATAGCCATGACAAGACAAGCAGGGAGTTCGCAAACTGCCTTTATAGCCATGACAGGACGGACAAAGAGTTCACTGATGACCTCCTTGGCCGGAACAGAACAGGCAGAGAGTTCATAGATGGCCTCCATAGCCGTTACAGGACAGGAAGTGAGTTCATAAACGGCCTCCGTGACCGATTCAGGGCTGGACGTACGTTCACAGACAGCCTCTGCGGCCGGGTTGAGACAGGACCATTGTTCATAGGCCGTGACAGGACAGGCTGAAAGTGCGTTGCTGGGCACCACCACCATGCAAGGAGCTGAAGCGAGCACCGCCGTTTCGGGAGGTTCTGCAGCATGCACCGCCACCTCTGAAGAGACTGCAGCGAACACCATGGCCTCTGGGAGCACAGCAGCGGGCACCACTACCTCGGGAGGTTCTGCAGCATAAGCCGCCACCTCTGGAGATGTTGTAGCCAGTGCCGCTACCTCTAGCAAATCGGCGGTGGAGTACGCGGCCCACTGGATAGCAGACTGGGATACCGAAGGGCTGACCTTGATAATCTGGATGTAACAGACAGGACGTGACATGACTCTGGATGATCAGCTGTGATGTGACGTGATTCTGGATGATCAGCTGTGATGTGACGTGACTCTGGATGAATAACTGAGGCATGACGTGACTCTGGATGAACAGCTGAGACGTGACGAGGCTCTGGATGAACGGCCGAGATGTGACGAGGCTCTGGCAGATCAGATGAGACTTGAATGGACTCATGAAGATCAGTTGTGACTTGACTTGACTCCTGACGATCCACTGTGACTTGACTTGCCTCGTGAAGAACAGCTGTGACTTGACTGGCCTCATGAAAATCAGCTGTGACATAACGGGGCGCTGTTGTGTCCGCCATTTTGCGATCAGGCTCCGCTGTATTGCCGCCATTTCAGTCACAGACACTGTGTCGCGTTCTTCCTCCGCGACACCCACAGTAAACAAAGATCCGACAGTCAACAAAGCATAATCCATAAACTGAGCGAGTGACGAACGTGGACCCTCGCGTCTAAGCTTAGACCTAAGAGGTTGATTCATGCCATCGCAGAAAAACTCTATCAGTACACAGTCTGGTAAATCAGAATAGTGAGTGGGCCCTGAGGGCTAATACAATTCTTGCTGTGTCCATACCTGGCCAATGTCCACTTGAACAGCTGCTGGATCCTTGTGTGGCCGAGTATTCTGTTACGGGGCTGACGAGACGTGAGACGTGCGGCTCCATATGCAAGCTTTATTAACATCAGAGGAGGTCAGAAACACAGGCAGGGTCGAACAGTGGCAAACAGGTATATGGCGGGCAAGACACAAGAATAGTCCTGGGGCTAGCGGAGGTCAACGATTGGCGAACCGGATCACAAGGGCGAGACTAAAGGGATAAATCCAGGAAAACAGGCACAGATCAGAAACCGAGAAAACAGACAAGGCAAGACTAGGAAGCTAAAGAGGGCTCTGTAGAGTAGCTATCACTGCTGGCAATAAGCGCATACAATACTCGGCAGAGAATGGTTGTTTGAGTGACAGGATTCATGACAGGTGGTCCAACAAGGCATAGAAATAGCAGGGTTGAAATTGTCTTTATGTTAAGAGAGGCGCAGCTTGATGTGCATATCAAATTCATATGAGAGAAGCCTCATTTACATTCTGCGCTGGAGATGGGAATTGTGTTGATGCACTTGAAAAGATTGTTGAATTCATTTGAGACCTCTTGTCCATTACTGTCCTTATACTCTCTGTAAGCACTCAATACAACTCTGGGAGTGTCGATTCGAAAACGCTTGCAAAGGGACTCAACTTCACTTTCCCTGAATAACGACACAGTGTTTTCAGGCCAGTATTGGTGGTACAGCACTTTCAGTTCATCAATCATCCTGCTATATCTGGATGTGTCTTCTCGTCCACCTATACACAGTAAACGTTCCTCTATATTCCTTGCAATAGCCTTGAAAAATTCCTTCTGATCGATCAGTCTGTCACTGGATTTTCCCGCATTCTACATGACACCTTGGAAGCAGTTCTCTTGTATTGCCCTCTGGCTTACTGATCTGACATAGCGTCAAATACTCGCATTTGTCTTACAATTGATTTGTGCGCTTCAATTATCGTGCATTCTCTTTTTTGGAGTTCAACTGATAGTTCTGAAAGTTCT